TCGATCAACACCTCAGTGACCTCACCCTTGCTGCGCAAGTAGTCGTCAACCACCAGCAGGAAGTAATGCTTGTGACCTTGTCCACGGACGCGGGCGGGGCCCCACACGTCCAAGTGAAGTGTCTGCAGCGGAGCCTCTGTCCAAGGAAACTCGGAGGAGTGAGTAGCGGCGTGCTGCCGCCCCTCGACGCAGGGAACGCAGGTAGAGGCAGGCCGCGGAGGATGAGGAGGGAGGGACCGGGGGAGACTAGAGACAAGGACACGGGAAGCCATGCCTCGGAGAAGAGGTAGGGAGGGGTGACCAAGGCAGTGGTGCCAGAGGAGAGTCTGGTGAGACAGGAGATGACACGAGCAGGGGGCGGATTCAGGACCAGACCTGGACGCTGCAGCAAACACCTGACCTGACGCAGCTACCTAACGAGACGTAGCAACCGGAGGAGACTCGGTAGTCAGTGTGTACAGACTTGACCTCGGCTGACGAGTAAACGTGGCCAAGTGTCGGCCCGTCCAAGCACACGTATAGTGGGTCACTCGATGACTCGCAGGAGTAAACTGGTCAACCCCCCCCATCCTGTAGATCAGCACCACTCACCAAGTTCGTAGAGAACGAGGGGAGGTAAAGACCTGACAGGGTGCCATAAGGGGCCGCCGGACACGGTAAGATAGTGGAGAAGTTGGCAAGGACAGGACCCCCAGAGGGGTCCGCCAGGGAGACCGCAACCGGCCGACTAAGCGGCGTGAGTGTGGTGCGGTCTCGAAAGAAGGAGCGGGAAGCACCCAAGTCAAGGGTGAAGGTGTGCAAAACCTGAGCCGACGCGGTACCTAAGAGAGCAGACTCACCAGCACCTGGAGCAGCAGACTCACTAGCACCAAGAGCAGCAGACGCACTAGCATCTAGAGCAGCAGCCTCAATGCCCGGGTTAGGCAGCTCACACAGGTAACAGTCACCTTCAGCACTAGTAGACACAACATACATGGCAGCAAGAATAGCATCATAAACCCGATCAAAGATAGCAACCCCCGACCTAAGCAGCTCGCCCTAGCGAGGGATGTCAGTGGCGTCAAGGAGTTGGAGACGCCAGGCGTCTGTCAGGCGGCCGAAGCAGCGCTGGGTGGTGTGCGGGCCACAGCACGGCTCACCAGTGCGGTTGCCGGTACGCAGGACGTAGGCACAGGGACCAGCACCCCCACCCCGCTAACGCGCAGCGTACCACTCACAAAGCTGCTGGGGGGGCGGGGTCTCACGAGTGCACTGCTGGTGTTGGCGCTGACCACCACCGACGCCCCGCTGCACAGAGCCACCCCGACCAGCTCCACCGCCGCCACTGCCGCCTCCTACGCTCCCACCGCCACTGCCGCCGCCGCCTCCGCCTCCACCGCCGCCACCGAAGCCCCCACCCCCGCCACCACTTCCACCGCCACCCCCACCCCCTCCTCCACCTTCACCGCCACCTCCACCGCCCCCGCCAGCTCCTCCAGTGCCCTTACCCCCCTTGCTGTTGTCGTTGCGGCGCCGACCGACTCGGTGCCAACGAGGTCGACCGCAGCAGCAGAGGCAACAGAGGGCAAAAGGGGGGAGGGGGAGCACCCCTCAAAGAAGGGGGTACGAGGGTCACCACGAGAGGCTCCTACAACGACTATACTCTTCTCAGCTTCCAGGAGGCGCTCCTCGAGCAGGTCAACGGTGAGAGTGGTGGGGCAAACAGAGAGGAAGTGGTCCCTGACCGAGCGAAGGGAGTCAGGGAGCCGGGTGACTAGGTAGTAGAGGGTGATGTACATGGGGGGGACGGGTTTTTGGCGCAGATTTCAGCAGGAAGCGCAGCGTGGTTGCGGGTGTCACTAGTGCAAAGGTGCGTAATGAGGTCAGCGACTGTGGGAAAGGCAGCGAGGTCAGGGAACAGGTACGGCAGCATGAGGCGACTAAGGGCAGTAGTGGCAGGGGAAGAGTAGCGTGCAACTACGGCGTCGTACAAGGTCTTAGCACTCTTATACTGACTAAAGTGCGCGCGCTCAGTGGACGGCAAGTGACTACGCACAGCATGACGAGCAGCAGCATCGCGTGTGGTCCACTGTGAGCGAACAGTACTGTCAGCATCGGCAGCAAGGGCCGCAGAGGCGCCAGACGTGAGATCGAACAGTGAGAGACCATCTTTTCTATCGCATTGCAGGAAAAGCTGCAGATCATCGACCCAGACCTCAAAGTCGACAGCCCGACCCTCAGCATCAAAGGTGAGAACACTAGGGGTAGCCATGACAGCAGCAGCAGCAGCAAGCTAGCAGTGGCAGCAGCAGGCTAGGAGCAGCTCAGCACGAGAGGCGCGGCTCGGCGGTGCTCTTACCAGGGGCGGGAGGGTAGAGGTCTGCAAGCGGTGGGGCAGGGCCGAGGCGCGCCGGTAGGGACAGGGCCGCGAGAGGGCGGCAGAGGAGTGCCGCGCCTCGGCTGCAGGGCAAAGCTGGGACGGCGGCGGCTGCTGTCACGGCAGCGGCAGGGGCGATTGTCCCAGCAGGGGCGGCGGCGGCTGTCACGGCAGCAGCGGCGGCGGCGACCGGTCGTAGAAGAAGCAGCAGCGGCAGCAGGCACGATGGCAGCTGCTGCTGGGGCGGTGACGGGTGGGCGGCAGGGCCGTGAAGAGCCGGGGAGGGGCCGCGAAGGGGCCGCGACGAGCCGCAAAGGAGTCGCAGAGGGGCCGTGAAGGAGCCACGAGGGGCCGCGAAGGGCCGCAGAGGGGCCGCGAAGGGGCCGTGAAGGGCAGCGAAGGGGCCGAGAAGGGGCCACGAGGGGCCGTGAAGGGGCCGCGACGGGCGGTGACGGGGCTGAGAAGGGGCCGCAAGGGGCCGCGAAGGGGCCGCAAGGGGCCGCGAAGAGCGGCGAAGGGGCCGTGAGTGGCCGCGAAGAGGCCGCGAGGGGCCGCGAAGAGCGGCGAAGGAGCCGCGAGGGGCCGCGAGGGGCCGCGAAGGGCCGTGAGAGGGGCCACGAAGGGCCACGGAGGGGCCGCGAGGGAGCCGCGAAGGGGCCGCGACGGGTCGTGAGAGGGTCCGCGAAGGGGTCTTAAGAGGGCGCGATGGGCCGCTAAGGGCAGGGGACGCGACGGGAGGGCAGGCGCACGGGGCGCGACTAGGGCAGGCGCGAAGCGCGCTCCGGGCAGGTAAAAAAAAAAAAAATCGATTTCGTTGTGGGCCCTAGGAAACGTTCCCACTAGGGAACCTGCTCTATACCATGTGAAATAATGAGGAATGATTAACTAGGAAATGAGTTGGGTACAAATATGTAACCCTAGGAAACTGTACCCCATACTGTCTACCCCACTACAGCCTAGAAAGACTATAGCATAAATGTTTGACAATTATACGGGTGTCTCTTATAAACAGGCTAGCCTTTTTATACGACACATACCGTATTTGTGTGTACGAGATAAGACATATGTGTCTTATAATCGAAACTGCAATGTATTATAGTGAAAATTGAAATACTGCGTACATTTTTACCCTTGCGACACGCGAATTCTGCCACGTGCTGAGTCACGTACTACCAAATTTGCCTATGCAAGTATTCTAGATGACGTGGCGTCTCGAACAATGGTTGCCGAAGTGGCACCTTCGCAACATCCACATTCTTAATGAGAAACTCTTTTCAAGATGCGTGAAAATATTTCTATGTAGTTTAAAAAAGTTTCCATTTATAAGACTTATAAGACGCCCAAAACCTCTCCAAATACAAGACAACCCAAGCATTTTTTGTAGTGTATGAGATAAGACATATACCGTATACTCCCGGACAAAACACCCCCCCATAATTGTACACCCCCAGGTAGCTTGTGCGGGGTGGGTGTTATGATAGACCTCGTTTCTACTATACCCCCCTTTTTGGCTGATTTTCTATAACACCCCCCCTTTTCTTACGGATTCATTATTATAGTCGTTAACGAGTAGCTGCAATACAGAAGAATGTCGTGTGAATTTCTCCCTCAATGAAATTTCGCCGAGATTTGCCCCCTCCCACTATTTCTCTGTCGCCACGTGCAGGTGAATCTTCCGTTGCAAGTGGCAAGAGAGGTGCCACATGCCATTTTCGTGGGGGCGATGAAGTTCTAGGCCGAAACTCACATTCGCGCCTCAGGCAGTGATGCTAAAACGACCAGCAAAACACCCACATTGACTAATTAAAAAAACACTAACACTAAGATATGCCATATGTAAAGACCCGGGTATTATGTATTTTTTTCCTATGAGGAGACCCCCCCCATTTTTTCACTGTATTTTTAGCTATACCCTAGGGTGTTATGTCCGGGAGAATACGGTATGTCTTATATCCGGGCGATGACGGTAGGGATAATATTTTCAGCTTTTTAATCTGCATTTGGGGCCTACCAAAACCCTGAAAATCAGTGTTCAAACCCAAAATCAGGGTAAATTTCATGACTTCTAAGGGCCTGGATGGTACCGTCAGCCCCCGGATAGAAGCGTCCCAATATGCGCTTAAAATAAATCATCCTTTTATAAGCGCCGGCGCTTATCCGAGGCCTGCGCTTCTATCCGGGGGCTTACGGTACTGATTTCTTACATCCGTTACAGTGTTGAGATCTCCATGTGCGGTGTTCCAATTTCACAACTTCGTTCCAACGTTAGTATTTCTCAATGGAAGGAGATGGCAACAGTTCGGATTTCCATGGGCCCTAACTCAAGAACAAGGTCATGAGGGTCGATCGGGGCACCTAAAAGTGGTGAATCTACAGTAGGGTCATTCTTATCTGATTCACCGGCTCTCCCCTCCCTCATTTTGCCATGCCCACCAGAAGCATCTCTCTCCACTCGCCACTCCATTGGTGGACGCATTTCCGATCGTTTCTGGCTTGCAAAAAGATTTAGCTCGGTGACATCCTTGACCTGCGCAGACAGATTTGATGTGGCACACATAGGTGTCAGAAACACGAGAGCGGAAGAGTAACGCAAGAATGAGCGATTGAAGAAGATTGATTGTTAGAGAAGTCAGAGGTAGTGCACCTTTCGTGAGGCGAAGAGCGAGGGGAGATGAACAGAGGCTAGGCTGGACAGCTGCGGATGCTCCTTGGCCTGGGGGGAAGAACAGGAGGAGGGAGGAGGGGGGGGGGGAAGGGGGGGAGGAGGTGGGGGGTGGTGTTGTTGAGTATGAGTAATTTGGCAGGTGCAGTGACCAACAGGTATGGTATGTGGCAGGTGCGGTGAAGGGCAAGAAGGGTAGCAAGATGGAAAATTGCAGGGGACGATAGGAGTTAAATCACAAGGCGATAAGGTGACGCACATGGGTTCTATGGTTTGAAGGGAGGGGTTGCAGCTGCATCACGGAATGAGGGGTGTCGGCAAGTGTTAGAGGTGGGGGTATAAGATAATCTTATAATCCAGCACAGCACCACCTAACGCACATAGGGCACACCTCAAGGTGTGAAGCACATGGAGCGTACCTCGTACAGGTGTGCAAATCGGACGGTGAACTCATTGGGTGCAAGCTCCTGTGGTGACATGTGAGGTGACAGAATGGAATCCAGTAGAGAGGGAATGGAGGGAGGGTGGATGGGTTGGGGGCTGAATAGCACCAGGTAGCGCTACGCACAAAAGCCGGAAGAGGAGGAAGAGGAGGATGGAGAGGATGATGTAGAGGAGGATGAACGGGATGGTGAACAAAAGCCGCACTGCATCAGAGGTGTTTCAGGAGGCAGCAGCGAGCAGAAGCCACATTGGTGAGGCTGAGTGTTATGTGTGCTTCCACCAGCACCTACCTGCAGTGAGACAATGGCAACGTTTGGAGGGAGGTAATAGGGCGCGGGCGTGTTTCCCTGGTTTCCCTGGTTGCCCTGGTTGCCCTGGTTGCCCTGGTTGCCCTGGTTGCTCTCTTCCGCTTGAGGCATGTATGAGAGGGAGTACGTCCATCTCATGCCCTGCGCTGCCTTCAGTGCCTCGGTTGCCTGCCATGCGCCAAGTGCCATGTGCCATGCGCCAAGTGCCATGCGCCAAGTGCCATGCGCCAAGTGCCATGCGCCAAGTGCCATGTGCATGTGTCGTGTCATGAGTAATGCATCAATCGCCACAGACCCATGGAAACGAATGGTTAACAAGCAGGACGGAGAGAGACAAATATCCACAAACTGCTTTCACTTCTCACTTCCCTTCACCTCTCTTCATTTCCCTTCACCTCTCTTCACCTCCCTTCACCTCTCTTCACTTCTATCCACCTGATTTCTCCTCCCCTCACATCTCACCTCGAGTGCAAATGCCAGTTGCAGTGGCGACAGCATTCTCTCTGCGTGCTCCTTCCTCCACCTGGCTGCCTCGCCCCTCACACTCCCCCCGCCCAACCTTTCATACTTCACGCCTTTGCCGCCCAGCTTTCGCCGGCCGGAAGGCGGTTGACTTTCCTGGGAGTCCGCAGCACCTGATTCTGCACTAGGCTTCCCTGAGGCCTGCTCCCTGTCCTCGCTATTGAGTGCTTCATCACTAACAGCATTCGCTATTTCATCAGAATTTCCTACATTGGCAGAATCGCGTACTGGGTCAGAATCCTCTGACACCCACTCCTCTGAGCCTGTGTCTACCCTGTGCTCGCTATTGAGTGCATCGTTACTGGAAGCGCCTGCAGCTGCACCTAAATTGGAATCCCCTGCATGGCCAGCATCCCCGCCGTAGCAGTCGGTGTCGCTGGGAGTGCTGGGATGCAGAGCAAAGCGAACGAATCCCACCACCTGGCGCAGAAGCATGAGGGAGTGAAACTAGGGCAGAAGCATGAGAGCCATGGCAAGATGGCAAGGGGTAGTGACTCACACCTGAGAAAAGCACAGAAAAAAGCAGCACTACAGACATCCGCACGTGCTGACTGGGAAGATCACATTCATAAATGACAGAGTCCCTCTTTTCATGAACATGCAGAATGGAGGTCGAGCTTACTTGCTGTTGGCACCTGCTGACTGTTCCACTCCAAAATACGAATGTGTGAAAGGGCAAAGCCCACATTGCCTATTGCATTGTGCCGTGCCATGCACACCCACGGCCAGGGCAGCTTGTATTCAGCGTCGCATGGCATGCACTCACGGCCAGGGGAGTGCAGCCATTGTTCCATGCACTCACGGCCAGGGGAGTGCAGCCATTGTTCCATGCACTCACGGCCAGGGGAGTGCTGCCATTGTTCCATGCACTCACGGCCAGGGGAGTGCAGCCATTGTTCCATGCACTCACGGCCAGGGGAGTGCAGTTGCCATGGGAATCGCACACCCTCTCATCCAGCACCTCCTGCACGCCCTTGCCGTCGTCCGAGATCATGCGCCTGACAAGCGAGCGGGAAGATGGATGATTTGTGATTCGAAGAATGAAGAATTCAGAAACATTCTGTAAGAGATTTCTGAGAATTCAAAACAATCAGTCGTGTGTGATCATGCGACTGAGAGGCAGGTGGAGAGACATGTGTGGAATGCCTTTCAGAGGGTTCAGATCAGACGAACCCACCCCCCACCTCCCCCTACTCCTCCACCTCCTTTCCCTCCCCCCATCTCTCAACCTTTTCCCATTATTTAAATTCATGCGCCTGAGTTGGTAAAATGGACTGACTGAGGGAGGCGTGAGGGAGGGAGGAAAAGGAGCAGTGAGTGGGTATGAGTGAGGGAAGAAAGGCGTGGTTGGAGGTTTGCAAACGAAGGAGTTCATCATACCTATCCTTCAAAACTACACCTCAAGACTATAACTCCAATCACACCATGAGAGTATTGTAGTGGCGCCCCTAGAAACACAAGGCCACGTCGCAGCGGTGCTCAGCTCATTGGTGAAGCATCACTTCCATCTGCCTGCCTGCCTGTCAGGCTGGCCGTTCGCCCAACAGCTCGTACACCAGCAGAGGATAGTTATTGAGTCAACTTCAAAGGCACAGTGCTGTCTGAGTGCATACACTACACTGTCTGAGTGCATACACTACACTGTCTGAGTGCATACACTACACTGTCTGAGTGCATACACTACACTGTCTGAGTGCATACACTACACTGTCTGAGTGCATACACTACACTGTCTGAGTGCATACACTACACTGTCTGAGTGCATACACTACACTGTCTGAGTGCATACACTACACTGTCTGAGTGCATACACTACACTGTCTGAGTGCATACACTACACTGTCTGAGTGCATACACTACACTGTCCTGAGTGCTACACTACACTGTCTGAGTGCATACACTACACTACAGCACAAGCCACGCCCACACCGCTCCACCACTCACCGGTGCAGCATGACTTCGATCTGCCCGTCTGCCAGGCTTGCCACCCCCAGTGGCCGGTCCACCAGCAGTGAGAGCTGGGCGGTGCTGCCCGCTATGAACACCCCTGCTGTGAGCTGTGGGCGGGCATAGGAGGATGGGATGGGAAGGGAGAGGCGATGCAAGGAGGGAATAAGAGGGAAGCCGAGGTGAGCCGAGTATTCTCAGGCGCCTCAACGGGCAACCAGCAGCGAGAGCTGCGCGTTGCTGTTCGCAATGAACGCCCCTGCTGTGAGCTGTGGGCGGGCATAGAAGGGGGCATGGATGGGCGATGCCCGCAGGAGAGAGGAGAGAGGAGGGGAGAGGGGGAGAGAGGAGAGGAGAGGAGGGCAGAGGAGAGTGAGAAACGCAGAAGAGGGGAAAGGAAGGGAGAAGAGGGGAGAGGAGGGGAGAGGGGGATATAGGAGGGGAGAGGAGGGCAGAGGAGGAGAGAGGAGGGAAGAGGAGGGGAAGGAGTGGAGAGGAGTGCAGGGGAGGGTTGAGGAGGGTAGAGGAGGGCAGGGGAGACACCGTGTGACACGCCTGGGAGCTCGTGTTTTGATACGCTGGCATGTGCACAGCGCATGCAAACATGAGCCATGCGATAAACAAACAGCAGCAATATGCTCCATACCATGCTATGCATTGCTATGCCACCTGCCCGTCTGTGCAACGGCACCATCTACACACACCAGTCGCAGGCATGCCAACGCGTGCTGCCAAAAAATGCCATCCATACATGCCACGCAGACACCTGAGAGCAGCGACTGACTGACAGGGTAGAAGTTGCCTGCGATAGGCTGGTAGACGGTTAGGTTCCAATCCGCTCGATGGTCGCGCACCTGATGGGCGTGGGGGCATGGGAGGGGTGGAGGGGGGGGGGGAGGGGGGGGGGGGATGAGGGAGGAGGGAGGGAGCATGGGAGTTTGGGACGTGTTAAAGGTGCGACAGGCTGGTAGGAGGAGGAGGTGAGGTACTAATCCGACCGATGGTTGCGCTCCTGATGGACACGGCGGGATGCGAGGCACAGAGCATGGGGATGACAGGGCTCAGGGGGGGCGGGGTTGCTGGAGGGGCGGCATGGCATGCTGCAGCATGGCACAGAAGGGCACATGGCACAGAAGGGCACATGGCACAGAAGGGCACATGGTACAGAAGGGCACATGGTACAGAAGGGCACATGGTACAGAAGGGCACATGGTACAGAAGGGCACATGGTACAGAAGGGCACATGGTACAGAAGGGCACATGGTACAGAAGGGCACATGGTACAGAAGGGCACATGGAACAGCTTGGTGAAAAGGGCCTTAAAAGCCAGTGCAGCGGTGTGGTGTGAGGTCCATGAACATTGTTCTCACCCGGCGCAGGTAGTCGCGGGCTTGCGAGTCCGTGAACAGTGCTCCAGCAGAGGCGATGGAGGAGGCGAAGCGAGTGACCACCTCTCGAGCCACAGAGGGCTTTCTGGGTACTGGGCCCACCTGATGGTGTCGATATGCATGCACGGCATGGCATGGCATGGCATGGCATGGGATAATAGATTGGTTATCTGGCATGGCAGACATGCCCTGCAGCAGCTTCCAGGGCACCGGGCCCACCTGATGGTGTTGATATGCATGCATGCATGTGGGGTGGTTTGATTGGCTGAAGTTCATCTACTGAAGTTCATACATAATGATGTGGGGTGGTTTGGTTGGCCACGGCTGCTCACCATATAATGCATCTCCGCGTAGTCCCGTCCAGGATACACGCGAATGACCTGCACGGCAAGCCAGACAGGTTGCAGGGCAGAGGAGGAGATTCAAGAGATTCTCAGTGCTGCTCATGCCAGCCTGTGCGGGGCACTGCCTTTCTTGACTAGCAAGGTCAAACCATCCATCCAGGATGCAATGCAAGGGGATCACTCTGTGCAAGTAAGAGTTGAAGACCAAGGCAGAGACATCACCAACTAACGCACGGACTAACTCACCTCTGACAGCCGCCCACCTCTGACAGCCCACCCGTTTGCCAGCCACCCACCTCGGACAGCCACCCACCTCTGACAGCCGCCCACCTCGGACAGCCACCCACCTCTGACAGCCGCCCACCTCGGACAGCCACCCACCTCTGACAGCCGCCCACCTCAGACAAGCACCCACCTCTGACAGCCGCCCACCTCGGACAGCCGCCCACCTCTTACAGCCGTCCACCTCTTACAGCCGCCCACCTCGGACAGCCAGGGCGCCAGTGCCCGGTGAAACTCCTCCACCAGCGGCCCTCGCAGCACTCGGATTGGCACCTGCGGTGATGAGAGAAGGGAGTGAGTGAGTGCAGCAAGGGATGATGAGGGCGGGGATGAGAGTGGAGCTGCGGTGATGGTGGATTCAGAGTATGTGAGGACGCTGAGCGTGCCAGTGATGCTGTTCTAGTCGGGTTTAGAGCGCGGGCGGACCATACGTGCTGTGATGTAAGGGCTTATTGTGTGTGTGTGTGCCAATGTGTTCTAGTCAGTGTGCATCCCACCTTGCTCTACCATGCCACCTTGCTCTACCATGCCACCTTGCTCTACCATGCCACCAACTATGCAAACTTGATTCACGTGTGTTGCTAAATCTATGTGTTGCTCTTGAGGGATTCTCGGGTGTGGTCCTATGACAGACAGCACTTGCCTGTTGACTCATGTTCTGAGCAGACGTGGCTGCATGTGGGGGGTTGAAGATGTATGCCCCTGCTGCCTGCCCCGCCTTGCCATGCCATGCCATGCCATGCCATGCCACGCCACGCCACGCCATGCCATGCCATGCCACGCCACGCCACGCCACGCCATGCCACGCCACGCCACGCCACGCCACGCCACGCCACGCCACGCCATGCCATTCCATGCCATGCCACGCCATGCCGTGCCATGACATGCCATGCAATGCCATCCCATGCCACGCCATGACATGCCATGCCATGCAATGCCATGCCATGCCACGCCACGCCATGCCATGCCACGCCACGCCACACCATGACATGCCATGCCACGCCATACCATGCTTATGACATGCCATGCCACACCATGCAATGTGGGATGGCAAGGCGATAACGGCATGCAATGGTGGGGGGGAGTTGTGAGTTGGAGAGCATGAGATCTCTGTTGTGCAAGAAGCATGGGCGATAGCAACCGCAAAGGGTGTAAAGTACACACCCCTGCGATGGTATGGTGGAACATGGGGCGCATGGCATGACATGAGAAGTGTACATTGTATTATCGGACGGGAGTGGCATAGAATGGCATCGACAGACGGGCTCGTATTGACAAGGATGGAAAGAAAAGGGAAAGACATGAAAATTAAAAGGGAGAAAATGGGATGATGCAGGGAGTTTAGGTTTGTGGTGCAGTTAAGAAGTGGGGGAGGTGGGAAGAGCAAGGGAGGAGAGCCAGAGGGAAAGTGTTTTTTAAGTGTAAGCCCCCATGTACGCACGTGATTTGAAATGTAGACGCCCATGCCCGTGCCCACTTGCTTGTCTGAAAGCTGAAACAACAGAAAGGAAGGAAGTTCCGATGAGCAAAGCAGGAGAGCATGGATGGACAGATGCAAGGAGGGCTAGGGAACAAAACGCAATCAGAAGCAGAGGCTATGAGTGAGAAGCAGAGGCTATGAGTGAGAAGCAGAGGCTATGAGTGAGAAGCAGAGGCTATGAGTGAGAAGCAGAGGCTATGAGTGAGAAGGCAAAGTCGATACAAAAGAATGCTCCCAGCAAACAGGAAGAAGCGCACAGAGAATTAATTCGCAGTGCAGCATCTTACCACTGTCTCGTTTCCCTGCTGGCTGCGGCCAAGCAGTTGCAGGCGAGTCATGCCATACGCTGTCTTTGAGAAGAGCACTCGCAACACACTCGGTGCAGGAGAGCTCCCTGGCGCTGTGCTCCCAGAGTTGGTACTCCCCTTCCCATCAGTAGCAGCGCCAGCACCGCCAGCACCGCCAGCAGCAGCAGCACCGCCAGCACCACCAGCAGCAGCAGCACCGCCAGCACCGCCAGCACCGGCAGCACCGGCAGCAGCAGCAGCAACCCAGCCTCCCAGCACAATCACATCACCACCACCAACCCCTTCACCCTCCTCCTCCACGACCACACTTTCTCTCTCCACCCCCTCTTCCTCCCCTACTTCCTTCCCCTCCTTACCCCCTTCCCCCCGTCCCTCCTCCTCTCCCTCACCCGCCTCCTCCCCCTTGCCCCACTCCCCACCCCCTGTTCCCGGCTGCACACGTGCTTGCCACTCAGTGCTCGTGACTGCAGCGCCGGGGGTGTGGGGGGGAGCTGGGGAGAGGAAGAAGGTGGAGTAGCCCAGGGGCGGCACCTTGGCACGGAACACCACAGACACCACCACGCCCTCCTGCTGCTGCTGCTTCTTCTGCTGCTGCTCCTCCCCCTGCTGTTGGTCCTCCCCCTGCTGCCGTTGCGTCTCCCTCACCTCCCTCCCTCGCTTCTCCCCCTTGCCCCCCTTCACCCCCTCCTTGCCCCCTCTCACCCCCTCCGCGTCACCCCTCACCCTCTCCTCACCCACCTGCACACTCATGTACCTCTCACGGGTCTCCCACGGAACCAGGACCTCGGGAATGGCCTGTGAGGGAACGACATTGCCATGGGCGTCAGTCACAATGACTGCAGGGGAGGAGACCTGGGGTTGGGGGACCGGGAGGAGACGAGGAGCGGCGTGAAGGGAGTAGTGGAGAGGTGGGAGATGGCACAGGGCAGGCTTGACAGGGAGCACACAAAAGCGAGAGGCGGAAGGGGGAAATGGTGGGGAAGGAAGAGCGGGAAAGGAGGGGGCTGTGACTGGGAAAGAAAAGGAAGAAGAACAGGAAGAAGGGGCAGGGATGGGCGGCAAACTGAAAGTAGCCACGAATGAATGGGACTCCATTCAAAACCACTCGTGGCTACACTCACAGGAATGCGCATGAATGGCTACACTCACAGGAATGCGCATGAATGGCTACACTCACAGGAATGCGCATGAATGGCTACACTCACAGGAATGCGCATGAATGGCTACACTCACAGGAATGCGCATGAATGGCTACACTCACAGGAATGCGCATGAATGGCTACACTCACAGGAATGCGCATGAATGGCTACACTCACAGGAATGCGCATGAATGGCTACACTCACAGGAATGCGCATGAATGGCTACACTCACAGGAATGCGCATGAATGGCTACACTCACAGGAATGCGCATGAATGGCTACACTCACAGGAATGCGCATGAATGGCTACACTCACAGGAATGCGCATGAATGGCTACACTCACAGGAATGCGCATGATCTCGTCTCGCGCCCAACCGAGGGGGTTGTATGCAGCAATGACCTGGGTGGGCATGGAAGGGTTGTGTGGGCATGGGGTGGCTGTATGACCATAGCAGCTTCATGCAGATGAGTTGGTTGGTTGGTCGAATGAGTTTAGCACTGCGGATTGTTGGAAAAGGGCCGCTTGCAAGCGTGCTCGTCGTGACTACCCACTCACTCCTTGAGTTACACTGACTTTTATCTGATACTGAACTGAGCCAGCTTGACCAGTTAGACGACACGTGGCAGCACCATTCCACAGCGCCACCTCATCAGAACCAGTCTAGTCTAGAAGTATGCATGATCGCTTATCAAATGCGGAGAAAGGCGAAAGACGCAGGCTAGAAGCAGCCACGCTGCAATGTGGTTCCGAGTAAGCATACCAGCGTGGTGCCGGGGGGAATGGGGCTGTGCGTGGGCGGGCAGTAGGAGATGTTGAGCAGCGGGCACTGCAGTGAGGAGGGGAAGGGAGCGGCGAAGGGTGTGAAAGGGAGAGGAAGAAAGGGGCAAGCAGTAGAGACAAGGATGTGTTCCGATCCGATAATGTAGCACATGCTGATACATTGAGTTGAGTGGAGTGCTCAAGGGCCCTCAGGGACAGAATGCACGGCGAGGAGGATGGGACACTGTCACTCACTCACACTGCCTTTCTCATTACCAGCTGGAAGTCAAGGCCAAGTCTCAGCACATCGTCCCTGCCTGCACTGCCCGTTTTCCCTGTCTCGTTGTAAAGTGTCTCGGTGCCTCCCAACGGCACAGGAGCAGCAGGCTGGCCTGTGGTGCGAGCAGCAGGAGCGGCAGGAATGGCGGCAACGGGGGCTTTGAGGTCCAGAGCGCCCTGGGAGATGAGGTGCGTGAGGGACGAGGTCACTATCACAGATGCCTGCAGCATGGGATAGGAGACACAACAAGTGCATGGGATGCAGGCGTAGCAGCAGTGGGTTTGCAACCAGCCCACCCTGCGTGATGAGGTGCGTGAGCGACGAGGTCACTATCACAGACGCCTGGGGTAGGGGATGGGACGTGCATGGGGTTAAGAAAGGAGCAAAGGACAACGGGGGAGGGAGGGAGGGAGGAGAGGGGGGGAGGGGGGGGAGAAGGGGGGATAAGGGGCGTAGAGTGTGAGAACTCACTTGATGGCAACCCATCCAGGCATGTCTGCAACCCATCCAGGCATGTCTGCAACCCATCCAGGCATGTCTGCAACCCATCCAGGCATGTCTGCAACCCATCCAGGCATGTCTGCAACCCATCCAGGCATGTCTGCAACCCATCCAGGCATGTCTGCAACCCATCCAGGCATGTCTGCAACCCAGTTTGGCTCACGGCTTGTGTTCATAGCACCAGCTTGAATAAGCCCAGGTATGATACCAGTTTGATTCCCAGTGGAAGTAGTTGCACTGCCACTGCCTCATTTGCAATGGCTTCATTCCCCACGCCCTCTGCCCCATCCACCCTTGCTTTTCCCCACCCCAACACACCTCCTGTGTTCGCTGTACAGTTGCAGCGTGTAATCATCGTTCACATGCTGCCGTGCCGAGCCTGTGATGGCACCATGGTGCTGTGCCACTGCCATCACCCCGCATGCCCCCATCCCTGGTGGTCCCTACCCCCCCCCATGCCCAACCCCACCTACGCCCTAAACCCCCTTATGCCCTACCTACCTCCTGTGCGCCCTTGTAAAGCTGCAGCGTGTAGTCGTCATTCACATGCTGCTTCGCCGTGCCTGTGATGGCATCGTGGTGCTGTGCCACTGCCACTGCCTCCTCTAAAGGGTACGTCGAAGCCAGGCGGGAGGGCGTGGGCGTGGGGGCGTGGATGGCAGAGAGGTTGGTGGAGAGCAGCACGGGCGCCACGAGGCGGGAGGTGCTGTTGCCCCATGCTTGGAGGTTGGACTTGCCCACTGACGCTTCCAGTAGCGTGGCTGCCTGCAGGAGGAGCGTCGAGCGGGCAGAATCGGAGAGAAGGGAGGGTGTGTGTGTGGACCGTGCAGGTAGGGGGGAGAGGGGAGGCATGGATGGAATCAGGCTGGTTACCGACAGCAACCCACCTGCAGTAGGCTGCTGCACATGCGAGCATAGCCTTTGAAGGCCGGGCGGCTTGAGTAGTACCCAGTCCAGTACTCCGTTGAAGCACTCGCGTACCTGCCATGCCATGCCATGCCATGTCATGCCATGCCATGCCGTGTCATGCCATGCCATGCCATGCCATGCCGTGCCATGCCATGCCGTACCATGCCGTGCCGTGCCGTGCCATGCCGTGCCGTGCCGTGCCATGCCATGTCATGCCATGTGATGCCACATAACGCAAAGCGAGAGAGGACGAGCAATTGAGCCATGCCATTGTGAAGTGCGAACGTGTGTGAAGTGGATTACATAGAAAAAACACACAGAACCACACCGAACCACACACAGCCTTCGCAAGTGCATCAATGGCACCGGTGCAGTGAGAGATGCAATGAGGTGCATTGAGGTACAGTGAGTTGCAGTGAGGTGTTACAGAGAAGTGCGTAATTCGGGGACAGTGCTCTCCATGGCCCCAAGGTAGACAAGGCAGGACAAGACAAGAGCAGCAAGTGTCCGCTGATTGTGTGGGCACCAAGTGCCTGCCTGGTGGTGAGCATAGGGCTTTCCCAGTGTGTGTGTGGTGAGGGTTTTTAACTTTCAAGCATGTCCACATTCTCCCAGCATTCCACCTTCCAGTGTGTGGGGTGAGAGACTCTCACGGGAAGAAGTCTCCTTGCTTGAGCGGCCATGACTGGTTGCTGCGGTGCTTGGCGTGGAGGTACCGCGAGGGCGTGGAGTAGAGGGCGTTCACACGGCCGTCCTGAGAGGGGTGGCAGTGAATCAGTCACGCACATGAGGAGGATTGAGTTTCGAGACGACTCAGAACTAGTGATGCACATGCAGGGGAAGAGAGGAGGATAGGGAGCAACATGCATGGAGTAGAGGGCGTTCACACAACCGTCCTTGGTGAAAGAGCAGCAGTGATGTACATGCACGGGCAGAGGGGGGGGATGGGGAAGGTTGGTTTGCCGTTCTGCATCATGGCATGCCGCACCACGCCATGCTGCACCATGCCATGCCGCACCATGCCATGCCGCACCATGCCATGCCGTACCATGCCATGCCACACCATTCCATGCCGCACCATGCCATGCCACACCATGCCATGCCGCACCATGCCATGCCGCACCATGCCATGCTGCACCATGTTGACGTAGTGAATGAGCTTGACCATATTTTTGAATCACAGAGCAGCGTTTGAATTGGTCACACGCCACACCCGCACCACACCACACAGCACCACACCCCACCACACCACATCTATCGCCATACCAGGTTGACATAGTGAATCAGCTTGTCCAGGTTCTTGAACCACAGGGCAGCATTGGCGTGCGAGAAGTCCTCCCCCATTGCCCACATCACATGCTCGCTGCGCGTGTCACCCGCCTGGGTCAGCGACTTGTTCACAAACGCCTCTACCAGCTGGACTATGTTGGCGTCTGCCTTGTATGGGTCGTCCTGGCAAGAGGGGGAGGTGAGCAATGGGGCACAGGTGGGCTAGTAATGGGTGGGTGGGTGCACCCACTCTGAATCAGCGACTGGTTCACAAACGCCTCTACCAGCTGGACTATGTTGGAATCTGCATCGTAAGGATTGTCTTGTCAGGTGAGGGGAGGAGGTGGGTTATGGGGCACAGGTGGACCAGTGGGTGGCTGGGTGTAACCACTCTGGATCTGTTTCCGGTTTCACGAGCACCTCCACCGCTGCACTGGCATCACCCTCGTATGGGTCGTCCAGGGGGGAAGAGATAATTGGAAAGGAGGCATAGTAGGTGTGCTAGTGGGTGAGTGCATGTGGTATGTGGTACAAATGGCACGCTTGCATGGGCATGGGCATGGGTTTGATTTGAGCAAGTCACTTGTTCATTAATACCTCCACTTCACCGGCTCTAATCTTGAGGCAGCTCATAAAAAGCTTTGAGCCTTGTTTACGAATACTACGATCTTTTGTGCGCCTCGGAAATGCGCCAGGTCCGACGTGCCATACAGGGTACAGTATGTGTTCGTGCCATACAGGGTACAGTATGTGTTCGTGCCATACAGGGTACAGTATGTGTTCGTGCCATACAGGGTACAGTATGTGTTCGTGCCATACAGGGTACAGTATGTGTTCGTGCCATACAGGGTACAGTATGTGTTCGTGCCATACAGGGTACAGTGTGTGTTCGTGCCATACAGGGTACAGTATGTGTTCGTGCCATACAGGGTACAGTATGTGTTCGTGTCATACAGGGTACAGTATGTGTTCGTGTCATACGGGGTTGCCGTGCGTGTGGGCTGGGATAGTGGGTAAAGGGGTGAGGGTGACTACACCCACATGTTTCAGGAAGCTTGGAACACTATCTAGCCCCATGCTATAGCACCCGTGTGACTACACGCACGTGTTAAAGGATGTCTACAACAGGGCTATTCAAGTGAGTCAGCGAACCTTGACGAGGTTGGTGAGTGGGTCGTAAGGTTCGAAGCGGAATGGCTGCGGGGCGAAGTAGCCGTCCCAGTAGAGAATGCCGGCGAACACCTGCTCTCGCACGGGTGAGGGGGGTGGGGGGTTTGTAGGGGGAAGGGGGAGAAAGAGAGGGTGGCAGGGTGAAAGCAAGGAGAGGGTGGTGGGGTGAAAGCAAGGAGAGGGTGGTGGGGTGAAAGCAAGGAGAGGGTGGTGGGGTGAAAGCAAGGAGAGGGTGGTGGGGTGAAAGCAAGGAGAGGGTGGTGGGGTGAAAGCAAGGAGAGGGTGGTGGGGTGAAAGCAAGGAGAGGGTGGTGGGGTGAAAGCAAGGAGAGGGTGGTGGGGTGAAAGCAAGGAGAGGGTGGTGGGGTGAAAGCAAGGAGAGGGTGGTGGGGTGAAAGCAAGGAGAGGGTGGTGGGGTGAAAGCAAGGAGAGGGTGGTGGGGTGAAAGCAAGGAGAGGGTGGTGGGGTTAGGGGTAGGGAAAACGAAAACGAATGATATGGCGCAGCGCATTGGGGCAACTCCACCACCCAATATGTGATATTTCCCTCATTCGCGTTGCAACCTCCCAGCAGCAGGCCCTTTTTACCTCCCAGCAGCAGGCCCTTTTTACCTGTGAAAATTAAGAAGCTTCAATCTCGTCTTAGCCCAGCTAATCTCAACTCAGCCCCGCCCATCTTGTCTCAATTCAGCCCCGCCCATCTTGTCTCAATCAACTCAGCCCCGCCCATCTTGTCTCAACCAGCCCAGCTTGAACCCCATCGCACCGAAAGCCCGGAATTTGAATTTGCAAGCTTTCGGCACTTGAGTGAATGGACATGGGTTACCACGGAATTCAGTCACATGTGGCGTGTAATACTTAAACACCCACGCACTCACTCACGCACTCACTCACTCACGCACTCACTCACGAACTCACTCACTCGCGCACTCAAGCACTCACGCAATCACTCACGCACTCACTCGCGCACTCACTCACTCATGATCTCACTCTCACCTCAGCCTGCCGGCCAAACGTCTGGGAGGCGCGCCACACAAACTCGGTGCTCCGCTCCCTCTTGCGCCGCGCTATGTCCTCATGGTCCGCCCGTGCGAAGAACACCGCATCCAGCCCACCCTGTACTGGCAGAAAGAGGGGCCATCACAACAGGGTTTACATGACACAACCACAAGGCAGGGGGGCATGACAGGTTGAAAATAGTTGAACATAGTCTGCTGGCGTGAAGAACCCATCCAGTGTGCCCTGCACTGGCAGAAAGCAAGCGGAGCCATCACAGTGGAGAGTACACGACAAAAGGCAGGGCGGCATGGTGGATTGTCGATAGTAGTCCGCACCGCACCGCACCGCACCACACGCACAAAGAATACTGCATCGAGCCCGCCCTGTCAGCCATGACGCTGGGCGAGCTGCATCCAGCCCGCTGTGCATCACGCCTTGAGGCGCATTGATCTCACTCAAGGTACTCCTCGCTCTCTTGCTTTCATTGGCCTTGTTTCAACTCGCCACACACACATGCATGGCACAGCACCACCACACGCACCAGGCAGTGCCACGCCTTCCCTCCCTTCATCTCTCCGCACCTGGGCTGTGCCGTGATGAGACTAGCTCCACTGGTGGAGTGGCTGACGGCCGTCCATCTGCCAGGCGATGGAGGGGGGGCCGTTGAAGAGCCACCTCATGCATTCTGCAGGGCACCAGCCCCACCTGCACCATATCCACATTCACAGGGGCGCACCTGAGCTGTGATGAGGCTGGCTTGGGTGGCGGAGTGGCCGAAGGGGTCGATCTGCCAGGCGATGCGTGGTGTGGCGTTGAAGTGGCTTTGGAGGAAGCGGTGGCCCAGCGACATGTGGTGCAGCACGTCCCTGTAGTGGCACACCGCTTCATCGTGCATCACCCACCCGCCGTTGCTGCATGCACACATGGAGAGGGAGGCATGGGGAGGGTATGCGACGGTAACCTCAGTGACATGTGATGGAACACGTCCCTGTATTGGCACGACGCCTCGCCATGCATCACCCACCCGCCGTTGCTGCATGCAATGAGGCAGCAAACAGAGAGCAGCAGGGGGCAGCAGCAGGGGGACAGGGAAGGCAAAGAAGGATAAAAAAGGAGAGCAGGATAGCATCATTGCAGTATCTTTGAAAGGGAAAGAGCTGACTGACTCACATGAACTCCAGCTGCCCCGAGTGCACGAGAGCACGCACGCGCTGCCTCATGCCCTCCGACTGCTGCTGCCACCAGCGGTAGAAGAAACCCTGCCGCCCGCCAGCCGTGAATGGTGGGCACAATGGGACGTGCAGTGTTGTGGTAGTGGGCAGAAGCATGGGATCACACAATGATATGGGTAATGAGACACATTAGCATAGAAGGTGCAAGCTTCATGGGTGTGCTGCTACAAACTACACAGCAAAATACGAGTTCATCTAAAGTACAAGAGAGAGTTCTCAAATGAGTCACCGGTTCAGGTCTGCTCTACAAGTGCTACAACAACCGTGTAACAAGAAGCAAGCTGTGAAAGAAAGAAACAAGCTTGCTTAGATTCCCACAGACATGCCCCCTCTGCTCTCGCATGCTTGATTCACAAGCAGGCACTCTGCCAGATGGAGAGGACTGGCTGCTACAGCCGCATTCTGCCACGTCACCTGCTCCACTTGAATGAATCGACGGTCCGGATTCGCCTCCAGCTGGTCCACCACCGTCTCTAGGATGAACTGGACGGCCGTGATCTGATGCCAGGGGTGGGGAAGAGGGGAGAGGTGTGGGGAGCGGGGGGGGGGGGGGGGGGGGGGGGGGGGGGGGGGAGAAGAAGGAGTAATGAAGGTGTGGTGTTGCGCTTCTGGTGGCACAGGGAGCATGGACCGTGTGAATGTGAATGCGGTAACTGTGATGGACGCGTTAGAGCTGAAGCTTGCGGAGAATGAGGATAGGAGGAGAAGGAGAGAGGGGAGGGGAAGGGGGATAGGAGGAGGTGGAGGCAGAGAGGTGGAAAGGGGGATCGCTCCCGGAACTTGGAGTACGAGGAAGGAGAGAGATCCAGAAGGAGTTTAACGAAGAAAGAGATTATGCTGGTCAGTAGTGGTGAGTCCTGGTGCTGTTATTCTCACATAGTACTGTTCAACCGTGTTGAGCCATCCCAAGTCGTCGTGCGAGTGCGGCACCAGATGCACGTTCACTTTCCCCGCCACGATCCCCGAGCTCGTGTTGTACGCGCTGCTGCTCTCTCCGGTACTCACGCCGTCATTTGCGGCGTCTGATGCGGAGGGTGAGCCGTGAGCCTCATCACCGCCGCCATCTTGCCCGGCGAGATTCTCACCGTTTTTACTGGAAGAAAATGAGGGATAGCGGCGGTGTGTCGGCTGTGGGTGGTCATTCTGCCAGTCGCCGGCAGTTGTGCCGGCTAGACGGGAAGAAAGCGACTGCTGGAGCAGAATCATGCACGCTCCGACCGCAATGCCGACCACGAACGGCGGCACGAGCCTGAAGCGAGATGATTCCACTAGCGGGACACGTGGCTGCGGCATGCTTCGCTAAACTCGCGCCAATTGGTCAGCGGTATAGCATACTAGTGATAGTAGCAGTTGCTGTTGTTGATGGCTTCAGTCTCGGCCCAGTGTGAAGCTGGTCGTTGTTCGCAACGTGTACGATTTAAGGGGTTACACTATTTCGAATCAATTCCTCTAGGGTCGACGATTGCCAGCGGTTTCGCCAATCGCTGCGAACAAAATGCCACCCAGTTGAGAAACCGGTGGGTCAGACCTCTTGCGTACCCCAAAAAATATCAACCGAAGCGAACCACTCTCAATTGCAAAGTGTTACGTGAACCATCTGGTTCGACATGGGACGAACCAGCTACAGTACTACATTCCAATGTTTCGTCAACCCGTCAGCTTGCGTTGAGACCAGTCGGTTTCTGAACCCTCGGGGGCAACCTCAAAACTGGAACACGCATGCAGTACATAGGAGACTTTCTCTTCACTAGCACTATTGTGTCCGTAGCTTTCGCTTGCATCGAGTTTCATAACCATCCACATTCCATTCACCATGATCCGAGTCCGTTTCCGAAGCTCTTTTATTCCGATACTTCTCGTCATTGTCTGCAGTGCGGCTATGATGCTCTTGGAATCGTCCCTTATTATTACGGAGGTGCAAATTCGTGAGAGTGTAAAATACTACTCGCACTACGCGTCTTACCTTCTAACAAACACCCTCCCCCATGCGCTTGTCTCGGGAACGCATATGGAGAACTCTGAAGAGGAAGACTTTCAAACTGGTAATCTTAAGTAGTGGCTTTAGCGCGATCAGCGGACCCTCTCAACTTGGTGTTTCGTGCAGGTGAGCTTGAACCTCCACGATCTTCAAACGTCACAAGCAAAGGCAGGAGATTACAAGGTACGCTGACGAGGAACTTGCACTCGATGCGGAATGTGAGCCTCGAGGATGATGAAGCTGAAATTCGGGAGATGCTTGAAGCTCTTCGTGCAAAGGCAGCAGAGCTCAAAGCCGCTGCAGATGCGCGTCAGTGGAACGCCTCGTATGCCAATGCTCCAAACGCAAAAAACTTGAGTCGCCTACCTGTCATTTGAAGGACATTGTCAGGAGACGACGTAGATGCAGCAGGATGACCAAGCAATTTGTGCACATTGCATGGAACAGCAGAAGTACGTTAGGACACCACTAGAGTATGCTTTGTGCATTGGGGATGCGTGTGCAGGATCCAGACAGGAGCAACGGAATCCATTGGTTGCCTGATGCCCAAGAAAGGGTTTTTGATACTAAGATGGAATTGGTGGTTGGCAGAAAATTATTGGGGGACACCACGTTTCATACTAACTGACTTAAGTCGTGAGAAATACTAGGTTGGAGTCCAGAGTTTGCCACTAAGCAAAGTATATTTGAGGTGATTGCACAATAAATTTTGTTCCATTAATAATGTTTTTCCTTACCTAATGAAGTATATTCAATCTCGTGTAACAAGTTGTACACTGACTTCTAGACTTTACGTCGACCGTTGCCACACTGTCCTGTCCTGTTTTCTCGCGTTTAGTCCAACAACCACCCCTTCCACCCAACCCAGCATTCCGCTCTTCGCGCTGCCCTGTCCTGTCCTCCATCCACCTGTCGCTGTTGAGTGTTCTTATCACCATGTGTACGGCTACCGCTTCTAGCCCGTTGTGTCAACCAGTTTACATATGATCCATTTTGTAGACATCCTCGTTTTTCTCTGAATACCGTAGCACCTTCTCCATGTCGACAGCTAGCTCGTTGTTACGTGGCGGCAGCAGTGGTAGCAATAGCAGCGGCCAGCAAGTATCGGATGAGAGTCCCGTACGACTAGACCAGGATGAGACCCGACCATCGCTCGCTTCGTCTATATCAGCAGCATCCCCCGGCGGAGAGATTTACAGACGCCACACTCCGCTAAGCCCCGATCGCAACAAACCAACCGCGTTTTCTCTCGCACAAACCATCCCTGATTCTTCGCCCGCTAAATTATCCTCTTTCAATCCGAACCCTCCATCCGATCGCATCAATGCGTCTCCTTCGCCGTTCACGTCGCGCGCCGCGAGACACGGCAGTCTGGGGGGGGGACAACCCGACATGTCCGTGCGAGCGTTACTCGCGCGGCACCAGTACCTGCTGCGAACAATGGGGATACTCGTCGTGCTGTGCGCGGTGTACCTGTATTTCGCCATCTCCATGGACCAGGAGGGTCTCAGCTGCCAGGGACTTCGGGGCCCGGCGCTCGCGGAATGCAGAGAGCAGCTCAAGGCGAAGCGACTCGCGAACAGGAAGGGACGGGGAGGGGACAACGCCGGAGTTAAGAACGGTGCAGCCAGTTCTGGAGGGTTTACAGAAGGTAGAGAGGTTGAGGGAAGTGTAGAGGGTGGAGGCAGCGGAGAGGGCCAGATTGGGCATGTGAAGGCTATTCAGATGCGGCAGCAGGAGAAATATGCTAACGGTTATCAAGTAGTCGAAGCAGAGGTGCGAGGGCTTTCAGAAAAGCATGGAGAAAAACGAGACGAGACAGAAGACGTTGGTAGAGAGGAGTTAAGAGGAAGCAGGTCCTAATGCTGCTTTAACATCACTTGCCATTGTGACCAACTAATGTGTATAGCAATAGCATCACAGATAGCCATTGTGACAGGCTTATATATGTAAAGCATTTGTTGCTCAAGCGTTTCCGACCACTGTTCCTGCAGCCTGGTCTCTGCTCCTGCCTCCTGAGTCCTTCACTGCAGGAGAGCATGTGTATGAGGCATCCATGTGTGTGGTTGGTTTGGTGTTGGCTCTGGCACATGCCTCTTGTGACATGCTGCCTCTGTCACGACTCACCACCACTTCACATCTTCGCAAAAAGCTTCGCAGGGTTTCACTAGCTCTAGGCTGACTCCTCATTCAGGGTTGTTGTGTCGACTGTATTCACAACCTCCCAGCGTTTCTAGCCAGCTACACACCGTGCAAGCACATACGGTAGCTACTGTACATTCCGGAGAATCCGCACCGCAGCTGATTGGTCAACAGTCTGGTGGGGAGGTCACTCCACGCGGTTGGTCAGTTCCCCGACATTCTCGATCTGAATGCGCACTGAATCCCCTGGCTTGAGATGCCTTGGTGGGTCAAAGCCTGACCCCACGCCTGTGGAACAGTGTTACAGTGGGGGGATGAAAAGGGATTCATAACACAAACATATGGAGGGTACTTCCACTCTCTACCCATGTGGTTCTCTCCACTCTATCCCACGCCCACTCATTGTGGGAGAATTACTTGGAAAAAATGCATGTGGTCACAGGTATGTCGATACGGTAGACTGTAAGAAAGGAGGGGTTTAAGCAGGCAAGCATGCATGGATGGGCGTGCATGCATGAGTCTAAAGAGGGGTACCCTAGGTTTAAAGAAATGAGTACACCAAAGAGGTGCTAAGCAGGCATTGCAGCGCAGGTAAACACAAGCTGCAGTGTCAGATGTGTGCTTGCTCACTTGCAGTGAGCTTGCCTGCAGGGGTGAGTGAGCTTGCCTGCAGGGGTGAGTGAGCTTGCCTACGGGGGTGAGTGAGCTTGCCTGCAGGGGTGAGTGAGCTTGCCTGCAGGGGTGCCGGTGGCAATGATGTCTCCGAGTTGAAGAGCGATGCCGGCAGAGATAGTGGCGATGAGGGTAGGGATGGGGATGTGAGAGCTCACCTGGAGTGCTCACAGCTCACCTGGAGTGCTCACAGCTCACCTGGAGTGCTCACAGCTCACCTGGAGTGCTCACAGCTCACCTGGAGAGCTCACAGCTCACCTGGAGTGCTCACAGCTCACCTGGAGTGCTCACAGCTCACCTGGAGTGCTCACAGCTCACCTGGAGTGCTCACAGCTCACCTGGAGTGCTCACAGCTCACCTGGAGTGCTCACAGCTCACCTGGAGTGCTCACAGCTCACCTGGAGTGCTCACAGCTCACCTGGAGTGCTCACAGCTCACCTGGAGTGCTCACAGCTCACCTGGAGTGCTCACAGCTCACCTGGAGTGCTCACAGCTCACTTGGAGTGCTCACAGCTCACCTGGAGTGCTCACAGCTCACTTGGAGTGCTCACAGCTCACCTGGAGTGCTCACAGCTCACCTGGAGTGCTCACAGCTCACCTGGAGTGCTCACAGCTCACCTGGAGTGCTCACAGCTCACCTGGAGTGCTCACAGCTCACCTGGAGTGCTCACAGCTCACCTGGAGTGCTCACAGCTCACCTGGAGTGCTCACAGCTCACCTGGAGTGCTCACAGCTCACCTGGAGTGCTCACAGCTCACCTGGAGTGCTCACAGCTCACCTGGAGTGCTCACAGCTCACCTGGAGTGCTCACAGCTCACCTGGAGTGCTCACAGCTCACCTGGAGTGCTCACAGCTCACCTGGAGTGCTCACAGCTCACCTGGAGTGCTCACAGCTCACCTGGAGTGCTCACAGCTCACCTGGAGTGCTCACAGCTCACCTGGAGTGCTCACAGCTCACCTGGAGTGCTCACAGCTCACCTGGAGTGCTCACAGCTCACCTGGAGTGCTCACAGCTCACCTGGAGTGCTCACAGCTCACCTGGAGTGCTCACAGCTCACCTGGAGTGCTCACAGCTCACCTGGAGTGCTCGAAGCTCACCTGGAGTGCTCACAGCTCACCTGGAGTGCTCACAGCTCACCTGGAGTGCTCACAGCTCACCTGGAGTGCTCACAGCTCACCTAGAGTGCTCACAGCTCACCTAGAGTGCTCACAGCTCACCTGGAGTGCTCACAGCTCACCTGGAGTGCTCACAGCTCACCTGGAGTGCTCACAGCTCACCTGGAGTGCTCACAGCTCACCTGGAGTGCTCACAGCTCACCTGGAGTGCTCGAAGCTCACCTGGAGTGCTCACAGCTCACCTGGAGTGCTCACAGCTCACCTGGAGTGCTCACAGCTCACCTGGAGTGCTCACAGCTCACCTGGAGTGCTCACAGCTCACCTGGAGTGCTCTAAGCTCACCTGGAGTGCTCACAGCTCACCAGCAGGGGTGCCGGTGGCAATGATGTCTCCAGGTTGCAGAGTGATGGCGGCAGAAATGGTGGCGATGAGTGTGGGGATGGGGAAGATAAGCTGTGTGGTGCGCGCATTCTGTGTGGTGGGATAGGGTTGGGCCGGGTGGGAAGGAGGGACGGAGGAAGTTAAAGGAAGGGAGGATGGAAAGGAGCATAAATGGTGGGATAGGGGTAGAGGAAAAGCAGCACGCGGTGGCGGTGATGAGTGCAGGGATGGGGAGAATTAGCTGCAATCTGTGTGCATGTTCTGCATGACGGGATGAGGTTGGGCGGCGGGGGTGAGGGGGCCCACATGGCCTATGCGTTTTGGAAGGTCGGGGTTCAATACCTGCCGGAGCTCATCATTGATCCAGCAGCGAATGTGGAGATCCTGGCCGTTGATCTCCGATGCTGGCACGATCCAAGGGCCCATGGGGCAGAAGGTGTCGCAGCTCTTGCCGAGGAACCACTGCAGCGGGCAAGGAAGGAGGGAATGTGGTACAGGGGCATGGCATGGGATGAGATGCAGCATGGGGTGGCATTAAGTGGCATGGCAGAAAAGAAATGGCGGAGTGGCAGCGTGCTGGAGCTTGTAAAGGGACCTCAATCAGAGTCAGCATTCAGGGAGAAGGAAAGAGGCAGCTGGAGAATGCAAGTGGGGAGGGCGAGAGTGAGAACTGGAGTGAGATAGAGAATGAAAGAGCAAAGTGGGAGGGAGAGAAGGAGAGAGAGTGGGATAGAGAGTGGGAGAGGGAGTGGGAGAGTGAGTAGAAGAGAGAGTGGGAGGGAGTGGGCAAACCTGCTGGTGCCGCTTCTGCACATCTCTTGCCGTCACGTCATTCAAAATGGTGTAGCTGGGTGCGAAAGAAGAGTAGAGCGGGAAACGAGCAGGGGGGTAACAAAACACAAGCCATTTGCAACAAGAGTGACAAGAACAGGCGAGTCTCAACCAAAGACATGGATCATCATGCCACCTTGTGCTTTTATCACCTCTGAGAGTTCCAAAAAACAGATGCTACAAGAGAAATCAAGTCATACCCAACGACATGGCCCATGGCATCTTACGTCTTAATACCTCAAATGGGTTTCAAAAAAATGACTTCTAGGCTTCTCAAACTGAACATCGTCTCAGTTTTATAGGTGCCTTAAAAGATCCCCTGAGATTATTTGAGGCGCCTCAAAGGTCATACCTGAAGACACGTCGCATGGCGTCTTCTGCTTGTGTCACTTGTGGGAATTTTCAAAAGCAAGTGCGCCGACACAAGCAAGCAAGTCATACCCAAAGACATGGTCCATGGCATCTTCTATGCATGTCATTGTTGAGAAATCGTGAGAGTGACACAGACAAGAGCAAGCGAGCCATACCCAAAGACATGGTCCATGGCGGCGTCTGCCTTGATGCCGCGACCGGGTTTCCCAATGATCACTGCCAGCTCTGTGCATGTGGAATAAGGATGGGGACGGGCGATGGGGATGGGCGATGAGAATGGGCGATGGGAGTGAGCAATGGGGGTACGATGGCTTGAGCAAACATGAAGTATGCTTTCTTAAGGCTGCGCCTTTCATTGGGGGAGTGGATGTTGACAAATGGTGGCACCGACAGGTGGCGTGGGGTGGGGGGTAGAGGATTGGAAGGGAGAAGCGTGCATAACATTGGGTAAAATGATAATTCATCACAACAACCACTTTTTCTTATGTAGTGATGTGCGATCCAGTTTTGGGTGTTAATAACTCATGAGAAGCAACCTTGGTCCCAACCCAAGCCACTGACCAGTAGGCAGCGGCTTTGGAATTGCGCACCTGCCTGCCTAGTAGGCAGAGAATTAGGAGAGTCCATGCAGAGAAAGGGTGGGTGTGACTTCCGCGTCAACTCACAACCTACCCAGAAGTTGCAACGCCCACCTGCCCCACAACGCAACAGCCACCTGCCCCACAATGCAACACCCACCTGCCCCACAACGCAGCACCCACCTGCCCCACAACGCAGCACCCACCTGCCCCACAACGCAGCACCCACCTGCCCCACAACGCAGCACCCACCTGCCCCACAACGCAGCACCCACCTGCCCCACAACGCAGCACCCACCTGCCCCACAACGCAGCACCCACCTGCCTCGTAGTCCACCGACTGGGAGTGGCCGTGTGGAATGCAGATCGCCATGCCTTCTTGAGTCCACTTACAAACCACCCAACCCGAGCTACCTCACGACACCCACCTTCCCTCGCAGCAGCACCCACCTGCCTCGTAGTCCACCGACTGGGAGTGGCCGTGTGGAATGCGGATGGCCGTGCCGGGCCCTGTCACGGACTGGGGTGCCTTGGTGAACACGATGGGGTGCTGGACGGAAGGAGGGGCGAGTGGGAGGAGGTGGGAGAGAAAGGGATGAGAGAGGAGGGGGAAAAGGAGGTGAATGCGGTCATGCTGCTGCTGCTGCTGCTCCTAGCGCTGTTGCAGATGCTTCCCTGCTGCTCCTAGCGCTGTTGCAGATGCTTCCCTGCTGCTCCTAGCGCTGTTGCAGATGCTTCCCTGCTGCTACTGCTGCTAGTACAGGGGCTCGACTCACACAGGGGCTCGACTCACACAGGGGCTCGACTCACACAGGGGCTCGACTCACACAGGGGCTCGACTCACACAGGGGCTCGACTCACACAGGGGCTCGACTCACACAGTGGGGATGCTGGGGTGGGAGATCCGAGGCGCAGTCCTCTTCCTTCACATGCTCTTCGTACCTCGTCCCAATGCACATGATGGCAAGTATGTTGCTGCTGCTCCTACTGCTGCTCCTACTGCGGCTGCTGCTATGCTCCGAAAGCTGCTACTGCAGCGGCTGGACTCACAGTGGGGATGCTGGGTTGGGTGATATGGGAAGCGGTCTTCCACGTGTCCACCTCCTTCACATGCTCCTCGTAGTTCTTCCCAATGCACATGATGGAAATGGTGTTGCTGCTGCTCCCAGTGATGCTGCTGCTAGTGCTGCTAATGCTCCTGGCGCTGCTCCAGCAGCTGCTGGTGCTAGTACAGCGGCTACACTCACAGTGGGGATGCTGGGTTGGGTGATATGCGGAGCAGTCTTCCACGTGTCCACCTCCTTCACATGCTCCTCGTAGTTCTTCCCAATGCACATGATGGCCCCTGCAGGCCGGGGGAGAGGTGCCAGCAGATGGCTCTCGCACAGCAGCTGCCCCTGCCCCTCGGGCAGCTTCTCAAAGTTTAGCCTGCCCGACAAGGGTTCAGAGAGGCATGTGGGGACCACAGGGCAAAGAGGCGTTGAAAGCAAAATGTCTTGAATGCCATGAGTGTGTGACAATAAAAATTGCACCAATCTCCACTCACTAAGCTCGTTTTTGGAGGCGCCTCAAAAGCAAAGTGGACCAAACTCAAAACACTCCTCACTCCTCTCATCTCAACCCAACCGTCTCACCCCACTCCCCCCACCCCACCCTTCTCATTGCACTCCTCACCTCACCCCACCGCACTCACCGGGCACGGATGTCCTGCCAGCTGGCAATGGCCGACGCCATGCAGTGAGAATAGGCAGGCAGAGAGGAAGGCTCACCCCCACTCTCCTCTCGCCCCACCCTTGTCACTGCTTTAGTGAAAGGGTTTTACGAGTTCTACTGAGCAATTTTCCAGGAAGATTTTTTAGTTTCGATCCTATTGCTGCTTTAAGCGTTTTCCAATCTTCAGAATTCCAGCTCTTCCGCTATGAGTGAAGATCCAATAGGCAGGCAGAGAGGAAGGGTCACCCCCACCCCCACTCTCCTCTCTCTCGCCCCACCCTTCTCACCGGGCACGGATGTCCGGCCAGGCGGCAATGACGGACGCCATACAGTGCAGGTCGACGGAGGCGGGCAGAGAGGAGGGCTGCTGCACGCACTCATGCAGCGGCCACATGCGCGCATCTCGCACCACCCCCACTGTGGCCTCGCCATCGCGCTGCTGGAAGGACGCCAGGCGAATGCGGCCGTCTGTGGCGTGGGGGTGAGATGGACGAGAGGACGGGTGAGAGAGTGAGAGGGAAAGAAGGAGGGGCAGTGGGTTGGGGTGAGAGGGTGACAAGAGTAAACTTCCAAACCCACCCCCACCGTGGGCTTGGCACTGCACTGCTGAAAGGACACCAGGCGCATCGTCTGTGGGGTGTGGAGGTGGCGAGATGGTGAGGTGAGAGTGGTGAGCAGTGAGAGGGTTGAGAAAAAAAGCAGGAAAGTTCTGGGTGGGCGGAACTGGGAGAAAGAAAGGCAGGGAGGAAGGGAAAGAGGGAGGGAGGGATGCCCCCCAACCCACCCCCCCCCCTCCCCCCCCCGGGGAACTGCTGAATGTTGCTCTGCCATTACACACCCCCTCTTTCTCCCCCCTCCGCCCTCTCCCCGCCCCCCCCCCCCCCCCCCCCCCCCCCCCCCGGCAACCTGACCTGAAGTCATCGCGATGGCAGCATCTGACACGGCGCCATCAGTTCTCTTCTCGCGTCTCCACTTCTATTCACCGCCCCTGTCGCTGCCCACACCACTTTCCCCGATCCTTTACCTGAAGTCATCGCGATGGCAGCATCTGACACGGCGCCATCCGTCATCTTCTCCCTCCCAACGCCCTCCGCTGCCGTTGCTGCTGCCGCGGAGGGCCGTGGCGCGTCCATGCGATGCGCGGAGAGCGGCCGCGAGAGGAGATAGGGATGCGCGGTGACGGGCAGGGAGGAGAGGCACGGAGCGCGGTGCGCGGCGTGGGGTGGGTTCCTCTGGCTTGAATTGGGATGCCCTGAACAGACTTGGCGGGTGCCGGACAAGCCTACGACGGCGCCACGATGTGCGCCGCTGCCGTTCGACACTAACGAGGCTCGGGCGCGTGAGACGATGTGCCCAGCGGCTGTGGGAAGAGTGCGCAGGGAAGCGACGGCGACTCGGCCCGCCGGATACATTCCCTGTGCGACGAGAGCGATGAGTTTGCGGCGATGTGAGCGACACTGACTGACGCTGATTGCAGTTGCGAGGAATTCGCAAATGATCACCCAAGCAGGTGTTTATGGGGAAGGATAGGTCCTCGCCTGTGAGTTACCTGAATTTACCACAATTCACAACTAGGTGTAAATCTTCTCAAATGCTGGGTAAATCATGTGCAATGTATGCGTTCACAAAAAGTTATTGCGAAACTTTTGTTTTTGCGAAAACGGACTTTCGTCAAGACCCTGTATCACCAAGAGTTCACTCGTCGTCCAGTTTCGCGCACACGCCTCGCCAGCATTCGCCTCGGCTGAATTCAGCACACCTTCCTCCCAACAGTTCTAGGATTATTCCTCCTGCTTGAACAAGCCTTGTTAGGATGTCCCACGGTCCTAGGAGAACTGCGACCGACACGGAGCAACTTGCTCTTTCGTTCTCGTAGGCTCGCGAGGTTGTCAACACCTTCCAGTTAGAGGGGCTTGGAACGAGCAGCCGCCTAACCGTCGCTGCCTAAACCTGGGATTAGCCTAACTAAAGATTGTCGCCGGTCAATCAGGCTCGCAGTGGTCGATGCCTCCTACACCGTGTTGTGATGCGTCCTGAGTCGCCGTCCTTTTGAGGGCTCGGTGTTACAATGCCGTAAAGAAACCCTCTATTCGCGTCGCAATAGTGAAGAAATCAGCCTAATCCATGTCGTGCGACGGCTCAACCTGAGAGCTGTTTTCGCCCAAATTTCGCTCTTCTTCACCCGGTTTCGCGATGAGCGCGAAGAAGGTCGGGCAGGCGGTGCAGGCGGACTGGGACAACCGCGAGTTCGTGGAGTCGCTGCGACTCAACATCCATCGCATCTACACCTTCGTCAACGACTTCGGTGCGTTTCATCCCCTGCTCTTGTCGCATCATCTACTTGTGCGCGTTTTTCTCGAGTTCTGAAAGCATCGCTCTGCATCCATGCATTCGTTCTAGAGCTCGTCATCGACTTCGGTTCGAGTCGTCCCTTCAGTTTCGTCCTATTTAATCGCGTGAAGTAGACCACAGCGACCTTCCTGCTTGCTCGGGTCTGTTCCATGGCTCGCCACAGACATGAGAAACCGTCGAGTCTGTTCTTTACAAGTCCACTGAATGGTTGCGTTATCCGTGTACTGTCGTGAGTGCATTCCAAGTGCCCCCCAGTCTCATCGCCCCCTTGTCTTACAATCTGGGGCTGGGAGGAAAATGCGTGTCATGATTGTCTTCGGTTCGGCTACCAATCAGAGCTTGCTCACGTCGGTTGCGGCTGCTGTAGAACCTTCGGGACATAGGCTCGGTAGCCCTCTCACCTGCCTTGAACTAGCTGGTCGAACAAAAATAAGACCTGTTACGTTGTGATGTTCTCTTCTGCAGGAGAGCACCTGCACCACTCTCAACTCCCTTCCACCTGTTCCTACCCTATTTCTTGCCTTCTTCATAGCGCATATCCATCCGATCAAAGGCGAGTGTCAAGGGCTGGCCGGCAACCTTGTGGGCGACATGGAGCGACAGCTGGCAGATATGAAGAGTGCCGGCATTCCAGGAGGATGGAGGCTCATCTGCTCTGTGCTGGTGTTTAGACCCCTTTACCACTGCATCTTCTTCCCCCTTCCCTTGCCTTCCTCCCCCTCTCACTGCCCTTCCCCCCTGTGCCTCCTGGCCTGCTCTACTTGGGATCCCGCCTGTACCAGAGGCGAGTGCCAAGGGCCGGCTAGCAGCTCTGAACAGCAAACTGACTTCACTGGAGCGACAGCTGACTTACCTGGAATCTCAGGTGCTCTCTGCTGATAGGGCAGGCGAGAGTGTTGGTCGCGGTGAGGCTTGTGGACCTGGCGGGATTCCATGGGCAGGTGAAAGTTCAGAAATAGGTGGTAGAGTAGAATCAGGGGCAGGGAGGGAGGGAGGCCGAGGAGATGAAGTGGCCGGGTCAGTGGCAAGGAGGGATTGATGAGAAAAGAGCAAAAGCACAGAAATGCGGTTGTGTCAAGGGTCAACGTGACTACCCAATTGATCTTCAAGCAGTGCTTTCTTACCTGTCATTTGGTTTTTTTTTTTGATACGGAAAAGTGTCATTTGGTTATATTTTCGGGGTATAAATATTTGTACAGCTTGATAGTTGATCTGGAATTGGATCCTATTTGCATTCAACGCGTACATCCGCTTCAGTCTTGCCATTTCACCCAGCAGTTGTGCTGATCGTTGGCGAGTAAGTGGCGAAAAACGTAACCACCTTTTTGCCCTTGCGAGCAAAACTGAACCTGATCTGACCATTCAGCAAATGGGCCAAGCGGCAAGCAGGTTCCTAGAGCGAGTACTGTACGAATCACAAGCGCCAAGCATGCTAGCCAGGTAGGTCGGCGATATGTTCCACTGATTTGATTTGTTCGGTTGGAATTCCCATAAACCGTCTTGTATACCGGTTCCACTAGCCATAGTAGTCCCTCGAACGTATTTCTAGCCAGTCCTCCTAACTACCCGCCAGCTTCCAGACTTGCGCCACCAACTCTCGTTGATTTCACGGAGACCAGCCGCTCTCACGAACTCCCGCACTGTCAGAAATCGATTTCTGGTTTCTCGAAGGATTAGAGCTCAGCGGCGCCTCGGGGCTTGTCGTGTGATTCGTCTTACAGTTTCGTAGCACAGACCAGCCGGCTTCATGGACGAAGGTCGGAGGCTAGCCCCACCGGGAAGCATTCCTCCGCCGGATGAGCGCGTTATACCCGCGTCACGGCGACCGGACGGAACGCTGCGGAAGGAGATTCGTGTGCGCGCGGGATACGTTGCGCAGGAGGAGGTGGCGACCTACGTGGCCCGCGGATCACGTGTAGGTCGCATCGTCTTACACCTAGGGGATTTTGTTGGGGCGGACCGCCGGGGGCGTTTGTATGTCAGTATGCAGTCGTCTTCTGTTGAAGTCTCGTTTACTGTGAATGCATTACCCTGCATTTGATCTTACTGAAAGCCTTCAATAATTGAAGTTTCAAGCATAAGTTTTGCAGAGGTTGTAGGTCTCATGTCAGCACTTGGTTTACGCATGTACACTATAATTCCGATTTTTTGCCCATGGAATCTGTTGCGTGATCGTTGACTGTATTCCAGCCCAAGGGAGGTGGCCCGGAGCTTCCTCCCGGTATGGATCCTGAACTGGCTGCGGAGATGCAAAAGAAGAAAGCAGCTGCAGCAAAGAAGAAGAAAAAGGCTCAGGTGAGTGGAATGTTGACAAGGATGGTGACGTTGTGCTTGAAGTAAGCAAGGGCTGGCTGAACCTGTGAAGTATAGCTTACAACGAATGGCAATGTTTCGCATCCCAATGGCATGCCACGTTTACCCTTGTTCCCTCCTCAACCCTCAGGGAGTTGGAGGAGGTGTCAGTTCGGCTGGTGGTATCTCCAGCAGGCGAAATTCAGTCCAACAGGAAGCTAACAGCCAGCTTGCAGAGGCTATGGATGACCTCACTGTATCCAGAGCAAATAAGCATGAAGGAGGTGCAGATAGCAGAGCAGAAGCAACTCAGTCTGGATCGAATGGTTCAGTTTGTGGTAAAGCCGAGATCGAAAAGAAGATACGTGCACTGAAGAAAAAGGTATGGCTGTTGCGTGGTTTTTGTGTTTCTGTTGTTGCCTCGTTGAGGCCTGCTTATGTGGCATCTCTCATGAGCACCTTTAGTTTGTTGTGGTGTTATGTTCTTATCGTCCATGGGTTCCACTTGATAAGACCTTCAATGTGTTTCACTCACTTGCTTGCACCATTGTCCTGTTGTAATCAGATTCGCCAGGCAGAGGCACTGGAATCTGCTGAAAATCTGTCTTCCGAGCAAGTGGAAAAGCTTAAAAAGCTTCCGGATTGGCGCTCAGAGGTTGAAGCAATGGAGCAACAGTTAGCCAGCATCTAGCATTCTGGATAGGCAGTGGTAATTTACATGTTGAAACTTGAGGGCCAAGTGTTACAACCACGTTCATAACCAAGTGCAAATTACCATTTCCCAGTAAGAGCATCCATGTCTTGCCTCAAGATAAATATGTGGCATGGCCATTAATTTAGCAGGCAAAAGCTGTGTTGAACCGAGAATCACCTTTGGCCAAATCGTGCACCCATTCTTGATGGGGGCCTTTGGAGTGCCGGGGATAGAAGCAAATTCCGCAAAGCGTTGTCCTTGTTCCCTTGGTTCGAGGGGGTAGAGAAAAACCCTTGTACATCGTTTCCTTCAAATGAAGGCTCAGGACGGCTGAAAGGGCGCCCACCTGATGCTGGACTTTCACCCCCACGGCCATGTGTGGGTGCAGGGAGGCCAGGAATGTGAAATGGACCTACAACAAAACAACTGTGGTCAGAAAATTCTCTATTCAGTGTATTTTTGCAGACGAATGAAGTTTTACCTTGGTTTTGTCGCTTTCTCCCAAGTTCCATACTGTCAGGTGTAGGAACATATGCAGCTTGTGCTCGCACTCGAGCAGTAGAAGGGCGCATTGTACCCGGCGCTCCTTGCTTGAGGGACTCATACTCACCTCTCAGCGACTCGTACATCTCTTCTAGCTTTCGTTTTTGGCTGCATAACCACAACATTTGTCTGCCGCTGCTAGAGAAAAGCAAGGTCATGAGATGTGAGATCTATTGAACTTACCGTGCTTTCTCTGCATACTTCTGCTGGAGTTCCGAAACATCCTTCGCCATGTTCTCTTTCTCCTTTTGTAACACCTGGTTTTGCTTGAGAGACTTTTGTAGCGCCCCATGGACTTGTTCCATTTTTGCCATGAACCTGCAACACATACAATGGTGGCTTAGTCCAGAAATCAGATAAGGAATTACACAAAATGCACCTCGTACTTCTCTTGCATTTGTTTCAGCATCTGCTTTGACTGTTCTGCTGCTTGTAGTGCCATTTGATTTTCAACTTCCATCTGGCCAACGTAAAAGCTGATGCCCTTGAAGGCGCATTTCATAACTGAAAGACAGCCAACCGCATGGTTTT